ATATCCATATTGTCCAGAGGAAGGGGGCGGGAAAACGCAGTGTGGTGGATAAAATCTTTTTATTTTATTTTTTTATTTTTTGTTTTTATGCTTTTAGAAGACACGCAAACAGTATATTGTGGTAGACTTTGTAAAAAGTCGTCAAAGCCTCACCTGTTTCAGCAGCAAAAGTGGCTTAATTTTTGGATTGGTTTGTTGATAGGTGAGATAATGTATTGAAATTTTAAAATAATATGCAAGATATCACAGTCCTCTAGAATGGCAACGCATCATTGGTATAACGAGTTTTATATCGGTGGAATAAAACAGAATTGTGTTAATTTGAAAAATCAAATATCACACCAGAGACAAAAATATGTTAAAAAAAATCATCGCTCATATATTTATCGAAATAAAAGTTGAAAATTAGTTAAATACATACCAATTTTATAACTTTCTATCTCAATAAATGTATGAATGATGAATAATTTTTAACACAAAAACATATCTATATGAAAAAAATTGTAAAGTTGTGTTTTTCAAGTTACGACAATTCCGCTTTCTTCAGTCGGTATGATAACGTGATGTCCCATCAGGTAGTCATTAATTTTTTTTGACATTTGGAATATTACTAAAAAAAACTTTTTTTTTACGATTACAAATCTTGCAGTCAGTCATGTGGAAAGCAGATGTGGTATCCAGTATATAATAAGTAGTGTGCAGCTCCCAATAGAGCAGCCCCTCTTTCTTAAAAGTCCTAAAAAACTAGACTTTTGAAATTTAAATGTATTCTTTAAATATTCACAGATTTGATCTAACTTGTGTACGTACCTACTCTGTTGTGAGCACAACTATTATATTTTAAAATAAGTGTATAATTTTATTGCAGTCAAGGGATACCCATTGCACCGTAAAATTCTTCCAACCAACACGTTATATTAAGTTTCACACTGCAAAACCGCAATAGTGCTACTTAGGAATTCTTATTTCGCCTGCGGTGTTCTGTACGGCAGAGGTGTTATAATAGTTTCTGAAAGCACAAAATAACTCTAGCAAAGTAAAGTTTTCATTCCGTAGAAAAAATATCTTGCTACTTTTCTATCAAAATCAAAATTTTCTTATCCTTACTCCTTACTCCTTACATATATTATAAATGCGAAAGTAACTCGGTCCGTCTGTCTCGCTTTCACGCCAAAACTACTGAACAGATGAAATATGGTACACAGATAGTCTAGACTCTGAAAAAGGTCATGGGCTACTTTTTGCAATGCAAATACAAAAAAGGGTTGTAAGGGGTTGAATGGGGAGATGATAATTTGTATGGTAGTATTGTCGTTTTTAAAGCCAAACGTTTGAAACTTATATTTTAGACAACATCTTAATCAACAGATTAAATAAAAATAAATATAACATAAAAAGTTTGTAAAAAACTAAAAAATAAAATAGGAAATAAAAATTTGTTTTGAATTCGTTATTTTTGGAGTTAGAACGATGAAACTTTTTTTTTTGGGTTTTTTTGGGTTAGATTATTGAATATTTTCTTTCTTTATATGGTCAAGGTCACTATAACACGCGGACGAAGTCGCGGGCATAGCTAGTTGGATATAAACTGAGTTTCGAACAGACGAAGCAGACTTTTCAGCGTGTATACCTTTGTGTAAGAACATTTGTATTCATGAGTATGTGATTCTTTGTATCGTTCTGGGTGTTGTTAATGTACATTATGTTTGTATTTACAAAATAATATATATCTAAGTATTTACAACAGTTATTAATTACCTATAACACAAAAACATCTAGTCCCCAACTAATCTTGTCTAGATTTGTTAGATATTGTTTCATAAATACATACATAATATATATATATATATGTAGAAAACACCTAAACCAAATGTTTGAACCGTGCGAGGAATCGAAACCGCGACCATTGGAAGTAAAGCGGTGTTCTAAACCTAGACCATCGAGGCCGTCAATTTATATTTATCTTGTTAGTCGAAAAAATAGCATTATAAGAGTTTTTTTATAAATGAAAGATGATTAAATTTGAATCTACTTTAAAGTAGAATTTTGGCAGTCTATCTCCTAGACTATTAGGGAAATGCTAGTGATACGTTCTGGCAGTTCATTTCGTCAAACCACCGTACATATACACAAGGCTTTCACTCCTGATGTTTAATACTGATTAGGTACGCTTTGTTTAGACTAGAACGACATATGGACATGCGAAATTATCTATTCCTAATACAATCATTTTTATCCTGATGAGGTAGAGTAAATGAGACGTCATTTGAATGTAAATAGAGTACTCTGAGTAATGTATGCATATTATAATGAAAACGTAACTAATTGCTATATCTATACATGAAATAAATATAATATATAAGAAAAACTATTATTATATTAGCGGCCTCGGTGGTCTATAGGTTTAACATACCGTCTTACTTGCGATGGTTCTATTCCTCGCACGGTACAAACATTTGTATTCATGAGTGTGATTGTTTGTATAAATCTGGGTAATTTCTATGTATATTATGTACTATCTGTGCCCGCGGTTTTACCCGCGGGACTTATAGCCTATATGTATAACTGATACAGCTATGTTATTAGAATAGAATAGAAAATCATTTATTCAAATAAACTTACATTGAAGCACTATTGAATAGTCATCTCATTTTTTTTTTAATCCACCCTTAATTCGGAAAACTGTTTCATCACAAGAAGAATGTGCAAGAAACTTGCGTGTTGCTCTTTTTAATAATTTTTTTGTTACTTTACATTTTTAAGTTGAAGTGTGTGAATACAAACTAGTACTAATTCAATTAAATACTAAATTTATTACACTATTAATTCAAACCCTATTCCTCTTATTGCCAAAATAATGAACAAGATAGCGCTATAACGCTTCCTAAATAAGCGTAGAGTAGGTGTTTGTACAGACAACGTAAAGTGATTAACATTACAAAAGGAATTACAAATTCAAGTCGTGAATTATGTTTAAAATTAATTATTGAAATGACGTTGACGCCGCTTTGATGAAAAATAACTTTCCATCACATTCAAGAGGAAATGCGAATGTTTTTTGGGAAATTACTGGCTGTTAGCCGCGATTTAATCCGAAATTTAGATTTTTTTTCAAAATAGATAAATTTTCTAAAATAAAAATGCACAAAAAGGACACCTTATAACATTAACTATCTACGAGTGAAAATCCCGTTAAAATAAGTCCAGCGGTTAAAGAGATTATTATATAATAACAAATAGACAGGCAGATATATTTTTTTTTCTGGTTTCGTTGTTTCACATTGTTATCCCACTTTATGTCTCATCCGTTTTTTATTATGTATGTTATACATATATATGTAATAATAATTACAATTACATAATAAATAGAAAAATGTTGCAAGAAGTGTACCATTCTTTGCCGTGAATATTATTAGGTTTTCCTATGTTACAGTAAGGCTTCGTAAATTACGCACTAGAGGTGTTAGTGACTTATTCCTAGAGCAAGGAAACATAGGAGACGATCAATTAAATAGTCTTGGTCAAAATTACAGTAATATTAAATAGAGATATATATAATAATTCGTATTAAAAAGCAGTGGATTTCTTGTTTATCAGTCATCCGTACTTCCCATACTATATACAGAGTAACTAATCCCAAATTAGTTACTCTGCGCCATCTCCACCATTTTTATTTCTTTGTTATGCCCGTTCATGTTCATCCCTTATTTAGTACAAATTACCATAAAACGTCACGATGTAATTGAATTTCTTCCCCTTTTTTATCATCACTTACCTGCTCGTAATTTTTATAGTTACACGAAACATTGTGATTACATTAGAATTTTGTAATTCGTATTAGAATAATAATTTATTATACTGTGGATAACATAATATTTAATATGTTATTTAATTATTGTCTTCTATCAATTATATATCCGATTATATATAATAGTAACTGATAGGCGCAACTCCATTCGCGGTATATTTTTTCAGTTTTTCCAACATTTATATTTATTTTTATTTATATAACTTCAATGCACAATATACCAAGGTAAAAGAACGGCAAGGTAAAGTATTTCGGAGCTGTAATTTATAATTCGCTCCGCTCCTATTGGTCGTAGCATGATGTTAAATAGTCTATAGCCTTCCTCAATAAATGGGCTATCCAACACTAAAATCAATTTCAAAAATTTTCAAAATCGTACGAGATTACCGCGAACATCCTGACTCAATCTTCAGCCATTTATAATATATACTAATATCGTAAATTAGTTAATTAATTATAAATTAGTTTAATTATAGAAAAAGCTAATATATTAGTGGTGTTAAGTGATTAGAAATTGGCAGAAATAGCTCCATTGTTAGCCCTGCCCTATCGGTCGACCTCCACGCGGTTCCCCTTGAATCCATTGGCATTAGATTTTCGCATGTCGAAAAATAAGGATAAGGCAGTGAAAATACAGGAAAATAATCACAAATAATATTTTAATCTCATGATGACACCGACATGTTATCAAAAGCGCTATTCTTGTAGTATATCAACGGTAATCACATAACATCAGATGGGCCGTCAGTTTATTAGCCATTCTAATTACTTAAAAAGTAATAGAAAACTTAATCTCTGATTATAGTATATTCTAATATATCTGTTTATGTATTTTTAAACTTACTACGACAACGGTATATTTCAATTCTGTATTTTCGATTCCTGCTTGGACTTGTTAGTAGCGCCATCTAGTATGAAGTAGCGTTAAATAAGTTATTTTGATAAGAAAACAGATGTCACTATGAGTACACAAAAATGAAGTAGATTTGAAAATGATTATACGACGTCTTATTTTTATTATTTATATTATCTGTTTACCTTCTATTGTAACTATTAATATGCATCCATACTAACAATATCATATAGTACGTTGTAGACTTAAACTAGGAAAGAAAAATCACTACATAATTTTTAATCTGTGCCGACACCGATCCAAACGGGAAAATGTCAGTCAGTTTGCGCCAAACCGTTGGCGCGTACAGTGATGTCTTGAATTGTTATTGTAGTGTAAGTGGAATCTATAATAACAAACTACGTGTAAAATTTGTACGGCTTCGTTTTGGTTATACCATCTAATAATATTTGAATCAATAATTTACATAACAATCAAGCAAGGAGGTAAGTTTGTTCCAAAAATCAGTTATACCTAATTGATAATTACCTATTGTTACTTTTTACGGTGTAAATTTGCAAGTGTGCCTATAAATTGTTATTGTTCTGAAACAATGTTGGTAATATTATACCTGTTGATTATTTATATTGCAAATATTAAATTTACTATAAATTCAGTGATTTGCATTACTACCTACTCAAATTTGTGATCAATTGATTTAAAGATAAATAACAAATTTACTTTTTCTAACTTTTGTTTAAAAGTCTTTATAATATATTTTTTTTATTTGCTATTTATCACATAATTGGAAATTATAAACAATATTATGTTATTACTAATTCCTATTCCCTATTAAATGAATAATATATTAAGAGCGACGATGTAGTATTACGAATATGTACTGCCATCTAGTGTTCAATAGTCAAAAATTTACGAGCAGAACACTCCAAATTAATGCTTATTGTTGTTTTCAGCATAAAAAGATAGATGTCGTTATAATCGAAATACATTAAAAGTAGTTGTTGAAGGTTTCTATGAAACCAACTATTATTATATTTCTGCATGTATTTAATAATATTCTGCACTGATAAAGCTGCGATTTACGGCTATATATAGATTAATAAATTGAGTACCTAATATGCGTCAAATACATCATACATTTTGACGTAATCTGCAGAATTCATATATTCATTCGCCATTTTACACTCTCAAAAAATTTGAGATATAAAATAAAAAAGATGCCCCATATGAAATTGCATTACAATCTTAAAAAGCCTAGTTTTGAATAGGCAGACAGATACAATTTCTCACCCCTTGAATCTATCCCCCGTCTATTTCAAATGACGATCGAAGTTACAACCTTAGCTGAGCCCCTACCAGTGCCTTCAGACTAAAGTATCCATAGGCAGGAGTTGGCCTTCAGCCGCTCCATAAGTCCCTCCGCGGATTTGGAGTGCCGTCTGCACTTGCTATTGTCCGGTTAGTTAGTTATAATAGCTAGCTGCAGCCAATATTATAAATATTAGTATAGATTTATCAAAACAAAGTACTTAAGGAAAAATAAAAAAAATATATATTTTTACGCTAACAGTGAACGCAAGATTCGCTACCCACTCTAAAGAACAATCAGTTTTTTCCATTGATGAAAAATAAACAATCATTTAGTAGCCATTTTGGTACGTGTATTTTCTTTGGCAATTGAATGAAAAATTGTGCTAGAGAAGTAAATATTTAGTAGGCATCCATAGTAATATTATAAAGGATAGTGTCTGTTTGGTACCGTTTCACAACAATACGTCTGATAAGATCTTAATGTAGCCCAAATTTAATTTGACCTAAAGACCTGTCATGAGGTAGGACATTTTTCTTGCAACCAACAACAAACAGATGGAGTTGCGAATACATATTAGGTTAAATTATATCTCCATATCTGTTAATTATATTTATATTGTTACAGTGAACCTTTAAGAAGAAGAAATGGTAAGTTTATGGGCTTTAAATAAAATAGAATAGTTTAGATCCCATTTTTAATCTGCATCACATCCGACGGTCACGGGTTCGATTCCTCGCACGATGCATACATTTGTTATTCATGAGTATAATGACTATAATTGTTTACGTTGATGTTTTCTGTATTATTTTGTAAGTATGTTTTTAAGTATTTCTATCAGTTGTCTAATACCCATAGGTACATACACAAGCTCTTTTTACCAATCTCAATGATGTGGCAGGTTAATATATTTTTGGTATTACTGTTTTTTATTCATTTTATTATATATGTAATAATAATAAGTTGATTGTATAAAAAGTTGTTACAAAATGGACTCAACTAAGTTTCTATATCTAAGTTATAATTGTATATATACTGTTTTAAGTTTGACGCGGTCATTATTTATCAACAAAAATAAAACGTGGTAAGATCCCGTGATTTACTAATTATAGTTATAATTCTAGTTATATAATATTGCCGTGAATATTATGTTTTTTTTTTTATGTTTCAGTACGGCTTCGTTAATTACGCACTTGAGCTGTTGGTGACTGATTCCTTTGGCAAGGAAACATGGGAGACGATCAAGTGAGTTATTTAGCTCAAATTACAGTAATATATTCTCTCCGAAAAAAAAAAGAAATACAGTTGAGTTTCTCGCCAGTTCTCAATTGACTGGACGGTAGGGAAAAAAATATAAAATAAAAAATTTGACGTTCATAAGCGGCTAAAATGTTCTACATGAATAAATCATCATCATCTGCTTCTTCCTTATCCCATTTATTTGGGGTCGGCGTAATATGTTTTTCTCTTCCATTCATCTCTGTTCGCAGTCATCGCGTTATTTACTTCCTTTCTTACCATATCATCTTTCACACAGTTCATCCATCTCTTTTTCGGCCTTCCTCTGCCATTATAACCATCCACATTCATATGTAACACCTTCCTTAAAATATTATCCTCATTACTCTTCAACCTCTCTGACACCGGCGCCACTTTCATACTTCCTCTAATGTATTCATTCTTTATCTTATCCATTCTTTCCACCTAAAACATAATTATTGTCTGATAAGAAATTGCTTGCTACAAATGATTTTCTGTCTGAAATACGTAATGTATGTGTCTTATGTATTTTTGTTCACAGGAAAAAGGCTGACGTGTCCATGGAAGGCAGTTTCCTGGTGAGACAGATATACGAAGATGAGATTACTTATAATCTGATAACAGCAGCTGTGGAGGTTCTACGTCAGTACCTTTTAATTATATTAATATTACTAGTAGTTCCCACGATTTCGTCCGCGTGGAATTAAACTTTATTATTCTAAAAAAATGAAATAACCGTTTTTTACTACATGCATATGAATATATATACGGTACATATACCAAAATAACATTTTTTATAATCTTTGTCTGTCTGTCTGTCGGTCTGTTTGTTCCGGCTAATCTCTGAAATGGCTTGACCGATTTTGACGAGACTTTTTATTGGAAGGTAACTGATGTAATAAGGAGTAACATAGGCTACTTTTATTTTAGTAAAATAAAGTTAAATTCTACGCAGACGAAGTCGCGGGAACAGCTAGATTTTAATATGTCTCCCAAAAATGACATTACAAGTTTTCTATTTTTGTTTTGTTCACAGAAATACCAGCCGATTCCATTTTGGAGTTATTTGGCAAGACCTTCTTTGAGTTTTGCCAAGATTCGGGATATGATAAAATTCTGCAGGTTCTCGGTGCTACGCCACGTGATTTTTTGCAGGTTAGTTATATAAGAGTGTGCCAGAATTTAAATCTTCGTCAACATTTTTATCCATCAGCCAAACATAATCTACATTTGCGGCTGAAGATAAGGAGTACCAAATGAGAAATGAAATACAGCAGAAAAACAAATAATCCAGACTGATATTATACATAAATCTGAAAATTACCTGTTTGGTACCTTTTCTAGAAGAAATGTTTGAACAGTTCTTAATGAATTTAAAATGAATATTAGGAACATGCGCACGCAATAAGGCAGTATTAACCATAGAAGAATAGTCAAAATCAATTAATAAGTTCCGAAGATATGGTGTGATATATACACTCGCGTTAATGACCTCTTTTTTTAAGTTAGCTGATTTGGTCGCTAAATCTGTTACAGAACTTAGATGGTCTGCACGACCATCTGGGAACTTTGTACCCGGGAATGAGATCACCATCATTCAGATGCACGGAGAGACCCGAGGACGGCGCCTTAGTTCTTCACTACTACTCCGATAGACCGGGACTGGAGCATATTGTTATTGGGATTGTGAAGGTAAACGTCAAAATCGTAGGATGATTTTATTTACCAAGGATTTTCCGACTAATTCAAAAGAGGTGCGAAATGATGACCTGAGCGGAATAGAATAGAATAGAAAATCATTTATTCAAATAAACTTAATTTAAGCACTTTTGAATAGTCATAACAATTTGTTTTTTATCTACCACTCGTTCGGAAAGCTGTCTCATCACAAGAAGAACGAGCAAGAAACTTGTGTGTTGCTCTTTTAAATAATCCTTGTAAGTCCGGAGCACCGAATCTCTAGCGGTGTCCTCAGACTAAAGTGGAATCCGTCAGGCAAGAGTTGGCCTAGAGCCACTCCATAAGTCTTTCCGCTTGAAGTGCCAGCTGCACTTGCTATCGTTCGGCGAAGCTGTAAAGACAAGCGGCGAATAATAGCGTTAGAAAAATTCGAAAAAAAAATACATAACTGTTTTTGTGATTCTCTAGAAATGTACTGTTAATTTAATATATTGGATTGTATCCTGATGGTTTTCTAATAAATAAATATAACTAAATTTACAGAGCCCAGAGAGACTATTTATATAGACTATTTATTATGTTAATATACAAAACACAGTTCAGAACACCCGGCCAAAGTCGCGGCGGAACACTAGTGCTGATGTAATACCAGAATCCTTTGGGAAATTACAGACCGTGGCCAGCAAACTCCACAACACTGAAGTGAAGGTGGAACTGCTGAAGTCTAAGGAAGAATGTGACCATGTCCAGTTCCTTATCACGGAGACATCGACTACTGGTCGGGTGTGCGCGCCGGAGATAGCCGAGATTGAGACATTGTCTTTAGGTACAGAATGATAAGTCACTTATTTTTATAAGGTTGTAGTATAACAAGGTTATCTAGCATCTGAAACAAATGCATTAGATGGTAATTCTCTAGAAGTGCTCATTAATTGCCAATAACATAACTTTTTATAAAACACATTTTTTTTAATACTACTATGGTGGCAAACAAGCATACGGCCTATCTAATGGTAAATGGTTAACGTAGCCCATGGACGCTTGAAACACCAGGGGTGACACGTGCGCGTTGCCGACCCTTTTAATAAGTACCTTCTGATAACAAATACAACAAAAAAAGTAATTAGAGAAATCGGTCCAGAGGTACCGCGTTTTCATCCGTTTCCGGCCATGTGATGCCTTGATTAATGGAAATAAGGATTCATCAAGGATCAAAGATTCATATATATACATATATATATGTATAAATGAATAATAGTAATAATAATACGCTTTTTTATTTTGTCTATCTACAGTATCTATAACAAGCTCATAGCTATTATGGCGTCATGACGTCAGACGGGTGTATGCCGCCGTGGGGCCCGTGCGTGCTAGGGCTGAATCTCAGTATCCATCGCCTCTGACGTCTACTGTAATATCACTATCACATCCTTGCACTTAGTTAGCGATAAAATTATTACAGGCGCCGTAGTACCAAGCCTTCCTTTGATCTCTATATACAATTTACCCTCACTTTACAGAGCCCAAAGTGAGTCCAGCTACGTTCTGCCGCGTGTTTCCATTCCACCTGATGTTCGATCGGGAACTAAACATCGTTCAAGCTGGACGCACCGTCTCCCGTCTGCTACCAAGAGTCACTAGGCCTGGATGCAAGATCACGGATGTTTTGGATACGGTCAGTACAAAAATTCACTTAATAGATAATAATAATAACTCTGGGATTTTCTCTGTCTATACAGTATATAGGTTTGACATTTTTAGCGCCAGCGCCAGTTGCGGCCAACAGAATTAGGGTAGTCCGAAAAATGGGATTTTGTAAACTATCTTTCTAAATCTAAATATACAATAATATATATACTCAAACGTGACTGACTGACATAGTGATCTATCAACGCATTGCCCAAACCACTGGACGGATAGGGCTGAAATTTGGCATGCAGGTAGATGTTATAACGTAGGCATCCGCTAAGAAAGAATTTTGATTAATTCTATCCCCAAGGGGATGAAATAGGGGATGAAAGTTTGTATGAAACTTTGTCAATTTTAAACCGATCGGGCTGAGATTTTGCATGCATAAAGGCACTATGACGTAGGCATCCCCTAAGAAAGGATTTTGATAAATTCCACCCCTAAGGGGATAAATTAACGCGAGCGATGGCGCTGGCAAAAACTAGTATATATACATATATAGCACTACTACTGTGGAATGATTTCTAGTGTAATTTATTAACTACCCTAATCTTAATACACCCTTGGAGATCCGTGGATAGGCTTAGTCAGTTTAATATAATATTTTCTATATTAATAGATTCGACCGCATCTTGAGATGACGTTCGCAAACGTCTTATCTCATATCAATACGGTGTACGTGCTGAAGACCAAATCAGAGGAGATGAGCGTCAGTGATGCAACCCATGACGAAATAGCTCCATTGAGACTGAAAGTGAGTGTATATTAAACTATATTATTTATATTTATATATTATTTCGCCTATGAAGATATGTGAAAAATATATTATAATTAATGAATCATGATCCAACTCTGGAAATTCTCCGTTAGTTTTCGTGATATATGGCTATTATGGTGCAATAAAGAGTAATAAATAAAAAAAGAAAAAAAAATATTGAGCCTATGAAGATTGTGAAAAATTGATAATGAATCGAAACTCAAATTCTCCGTTAGGTGAATGGCTAGTGCAGGCTGGTGCACCAATCCATTATCATCCATAAGAGAAAAAATCCTCTAATTCTTGATTAAAAGACTCATCAAATACCCTGCTATTTTAACCCACCTGCGCTAACGGTTTACTGTTTACTTGGCGGGGCACCAGTGGAGGATGATAAGATGAGCATGTAGGTCAGTGTGCCCATCGTGACGAATTTACCAGAAATTGATAACGATGGTTTCCAGGGGGGAACCGCATTGAGGTCGACCTAACATGGTACTTTGCTGACAGTGGGATCCCCCCCCCCCCCTTAACTAAGGATATTCGTTGGCAGGGCGTGGTGGACGATAGAATGTGGATGAAGTCAAATCAATTAGCCCAGAGTCGTGAATTCCTCATAATTAGCTACGATGTTTCCCACTGAAGATCAGCGATTGAGCACTTAATTTACCTCAAACAATTCAGATAAAATATAGCATAATGCAAAAATATAGTCAAAATGGAAATATTAAATAAATTTTGTACATTTCAGGGTCAAATGCTGTACATTCCTGAAACTGATGTGGTCGTATTTCAGTGTTACCCCAGTGTAACAAATCTCGATGATCTCACACGGTAACTTTAAATCATTACTAGCTGACCCGCACAACTTCGTCTGCATTACACTTACTTGACGTTTATCATTAATTTTTCACCTAATTTACATAAAATCTTTTTAAATCAAAGCTGATGTCTAAGCTATATTACTGTAAAATTCATCAAAATCTGTTCAGTAGTCTTGGAGTGAAAACGAGACAGACAGAGTTGTTTTCGCATTTATAATATTTTGGTTAAATTATGAAATTTCCGATTTGTACTGAAAAATTTAAACTCAATTTGTCATTAATTATCGGTGTGTTGGACCATTATGATATAAGTTTACTATTAAGAATCTTTGGTGCTCATTTCTGAACTTATTAGCGCTCTAAGACGTGGTATATCAGTATCAGGGTTCAAAGCATAAGCATACTACTGTATTGTACAGTGCCATCTAGCGGCGCTTGCATTCTATAATATGTTGTATGTTTATAGAGAGCGCTGTCCTAACGGAAAATTGCGACAAATAAATAATGGAATCAGAGTTTTTTTTAATAATTTCACCGTTTTACAGTCGAGGACTCTGTATCTCTGACATTCCTCTGCACGACGCGACCCGTGATCTGGTCCTCATGTCAGAGCAGTTCGAAGCTGACTACAAACTTACCCAGAACCTGGAGGTCCTGACAGACAAGCTGCAGCAGACCTTCCGCGAACTTGATTCGGAGAAAAAGAAAACCGATCGGTAAGTCTTTTAAGTGTAGTTGTAGTAGTGTGGTTAAATATTTAATAATTATATTGTTCATTAACAACGTGTCTTATATTGTTCATATAAAACACTTTGATGGTCATACTTATTTTACAAAACACATTTTTTGTTTTTCAAGAAGGATACCCTAAGATTTCTTAAGAGTCGGCATACGCGTGACTATGGACGTGACGCCTCCCTTGTTTCAAGCGTCCATAGGCTACGATAACCATTTACTATTAGATGCGCCATATGCTTGTTTTCTACCATCATAGTATAAAAAAACCTTTAAATTTAGCTTGTAAGTAAACGAAGCCGGGCTCTGTATGCACATATTAAGAAATCTTTATGTCAATTTAACTACTGTTTTTTTATTGTAAGTGAAATGGCAAACAACCTGATTAAAGTTTTTGCAAATAGTATCTGGCTGGGTGTTTTGTATGATCATACTTATGAATACAAATGTTTGTGCCGTGCAAAGAATCGAACCCGCAAGACCACCGAGGCCGTCGTCTATATTTGAATTAACGTAGTGTTTGTGATTTCAAAAAATGCCCATATTTCTGGAATCATAAAAAAATAGCAATATGTTTATCTTTCTTCCAGTCTTCTATACTCGGTGCTACCCATCAGCGTAGCATCGGAGCTCCGACACCGACGGCCCGTACAGGCGCGTCGATACGATCCCGTGACCTTGCTGTTCAGTGGTATCGTGGGATTCGCTAATTACTGCGCCAACAACACCGACCATAAAGGTGCTATGAAGATTGTAAGGATGCTCAATGATCTGTACACGGCATTCGATGTCCTGACTGATCCGAAAAGGAGTCCAGATGTTTATAAGGTAACTATAAATTTACTTACACATAGTCAAAATCAAAATTATAATCAAAAATCATATATTCATGTAGGATATTTTAGCCACTAGGGAAAGCCAAGTTTTTTGTATTAATATTTTTTTATATTCCCACCAGTTCAGTATACAGATTCAATTGAGAACTACTGGCAAGAAACTCAACAGAATTTCTTTTTTTTAAAAGCCAATTTATTTACTTTATATTATATATATAGGTGTCTATGTCTAACATTAAATGAAAATTTAGTCAATAAATATGATTTAACAGATGTTTTTAAATTACCTACACATAATTCCAGTATATCCTTTGGTATCTTATTGTAAAATGTTATACCCATTCCCATAAAAGTTTTGTTTTTTATATTTCTTTATAAATTCAGGGACTTTTGTACCATCTAAGTACATGCCAGTCCCATTGTACCCTAAAACTAATCACTCCATTACCTCACCAGTGAACAAATTGCCTTAGCCGCACCGTTTGAAGGATCGGCTAAAACAGTTTGTATGACACCAACATCTAATATATTTATTCTATGGTCCCATAAAAGATCTTGATCATGACTTTTTCCAAGCGATACTTAGGAACAGCAAGTTTGTCTTTAAATTTAGTATTAATGTTATAAATAAGTCTTATTTTTGGAAATAAATTAAAATTCTTACGCTATTACTACTACTTCTACTACTTCTATTCTTACTCCTGAATTGATACTTCTAATACTTAAATATAGAATATTTGAGTATATATATAAAGATGCAACGGTGAGTACATGCCTCTTCAAATTTCTCTCTTAATAACTCACGACTCCACATACAGTAAATCGCACTTTAGTTTGGTAGTAGTTGATGACTGTTTCCATTCAACCAGGTGGAGACGGTGGGTGACAAGTACATGGCAGTGTCAGGACTACCTGAATACAAAGTAGCACATGCTAAACATATTTCGCTCCTGGCTCTGGACATGATAGATCTAGCGCAAACTGTCACCGTGGATGGCGAACCTGTTGTGAGTATTTTTATTTATAAATATACAACGCTAGCTATGCTCACGGTTTCATCCGCATGAAATTTATATCCTGTGTTATTCTGATGTAAAACCTATATTATGGTAAAGTTTCATTAAAATCCATTCAGTAGTTTTTGCGTGAAAGAAAAAAATCGTGATAAATTCCTGATAAAGTTGCCACGATTGGTTAACTCACCTGACTTCATGTTATTCCTATTATCCTTCACTGATGCCCCGCCAGCGTAAACCGTTACCGCAGGCGAGTATACCATTCCATTATCATTCCTTTGTAAACTGAGGAGTTCTTGGTGTTATTAATATCTGTTTGATATTATTAAGTCTAGCATGTGTACATGGAAAATAGAAATAATTTGACAAAAACGTTTCAAGCCTTTGTAACTGTGTGTGATCCAGGGAATTACCATTGGCATCCATTCTGGAGAGGTGGTGACTGGAGTTATAGGTCACCGCATGCCGCGTTACTGTCTCTTCGGGAACACAGTGAACTTGACCAGCCGTTGTGAAACCACCGGTGTACCGGGCACTATCAACGTGAGCGAGGATACTTACAGGTAACATATTGACTGTTCTATACTTTGTGTATCAAACGAAATTAAAAATAATTTATTTAAGTAGTATAGCATTTAAGCCGATTATGAACGTAATATTTTTTACCTACACAATGTACATGGAAAACACCCAGATCAATACAAACAATAACACTCATACATGAATATATATGTTTGAAACTTGCGAGGAATCGAACCCGCGACCGCGGGAAGTAAAGCAGTCAGGTAAACCATTAGACCATACAATTATTCTCACTTTAAAGGCATTGCTGCAAAATTTACGTATTCCTTAATTTTAAATAGAGAACAGTAGAATCCGAAATAATAACATTATTTAGTTTATGTTTGAAAAAATATAATATAAACAATAGGATATAATCATGTTCTACACAAATAATAAATAAGATATGTAAATATAAAAACTTTAATCGTCACACAAATCAAGGTATCTCCTTAAAGCCACCGGAATCGGAAGTTTCTGTATACCGAATGGTAACTCGAAATTTTTCCATAACATTTCTCTTACACAACATCTGCAAAGATGTTTCAACTCTACAGGCCTAAGTCCACACCTTGAACTGGGTATCAAACGATCTTCAAGAATTTCACCATATTTCTCCAAAACTATTCTTCTTTGATAATTATAATCATCTGGTAGCTCCAAATCCTTGAAAACCTGTTTATCTACTGTAAATTCTATTTTAGGTGTTGCTCGTAATATTAATTTCAAACACGATACAAGTTCGTACGGATATACCCTGTTATATTCTTTAAGCCTGTCTAAAATAGATTCAGCAGGATTCGTAGATGCATCACTTGCGATTCTAGCTCCAAACCTTAATAGAATCATTAGCATTTCCGATAATCCCATTTGTATGACCACTCTTACTGGCGATGCTTTCCCACAACTCTCTAAAGGTACATCTATAAAGCGATATGTGATATTTTCTTCGGTGTATTCAAGACAAGCGTTTGTAGCATGATCTAGAAAGAACACTAATGCGTGGACATTCTCTTCTTTATCCGCGAAGTCAGATTTCCAACCAGCTAGAAAATGAGGTGCTGATGTACCAAATATGGCTCCTGCAAATTATGAAATTTCTTGAATAACTCTTTATTTTAACTTTGTATTCAAATGAGTTAGATGTTAACTTGACAGCCACAGTATGGTGGTATGATTGAAAAAGAATTAAGAATATAAATGTTCAAATCTGAGGTACTATATGCAGAGAAAGAAAATTCAACTGGTAATAACAAAGAAGTTATAGAACTAATTTTTAAGGTCACTTATAAAGATTTAAATTATAAACTCACTCCGTATTTTCCAATGAAAATCGAAATAAAACATTATAAAATAGATTCCGTATACGAGCTCACAAGTCTAATATTTCTGAATATTAGCGTAAGTGTTCATTCTAACTAAATCTGATAAATTTAATTTAGTTACAACATTACAACCTTAAAAAATGTGTGATATGCCTTCCTTGACGCCGGCAACACGCCAAAACTTTCACTGGTATTACAAGTGCTCATTTGCCTCAATTAATTAAAAAGTAATTATTTACAAAGTAATATTGTTTACCTAAAAATATTCTCTCAAATGTCTTCTCGCATGTGTATATTTCATCAAGTAACGCAGCCACTACTCCATTATCTTGTAGACTCCAATCAAATGCCAACTTCATAGCAATATACAGTAGATTATGATATTTGCCCATGAGGCAAACATCGCCATTATTCATTTTGCAGTTATTATGATACCTTAGTGTGGATAGTACCAAATTTTTGCATGTCATGCTATCTGATAAGTTTTGACCTGGAAAAAAAATGTTATGTATTAGCGAAGGAATAGGCTTTTTTGCATTACATAATAGTAAAAAACTGTACATTTAAAAATTTGTATTAAAATATTTTATATTAATACATATATTCTAGGACGTGAAATATAAATTATCAGGTAGAATATGAAAGTGAAAAAGCTCATGCATCGGAAGAGTAGGCTTTATCTGACCGAATAGACAATTTTGTTATGATCAGATACACCGTATAGTTTGACACGGTTGATAAGTCTCCAAAACCAATGTCTAAGCAAGTATGAGTTATGAAATCTGATAAAGCAAAACTTAACACTTATTTATGAGACCGATATCTAATTTAAAAAAAAACAGGCTGAAGGAAGGATGTAGAAATAATTGTACAACCTCTAGCACATCCAGTGATAACTGTGTTGAAATATTCAACAAGCTCCCGTCTTTTGAACCTCTCATTTAAACCATCCCGATTTATATTACAGAACACTTCTTCGAAATAAAACTTCATAAATGTATCCATTATTCACAAGTATTCCGCAAACCACACAATTTTTTATTGATCTAAGTATTTAATTGCCTGAGTTTATGTTAAAAATTTTGAATATCTTTTTTTCTTATGATGTCCATTAAAGGAAACAGTCAGGTCTTTAATGATGAGTTATCAGCAAGTTACTAGACACCCTCACGGTTGTGTAGAATACTTAAAAGTGCATAATCGTCTTGCATTCGGTTGTGCTGGGAAGCCTTATGTTATAAGTAGAGGCACATCACAATATTTACGACATTTTCGTTGTTACACTGACGTTTAAGCTTTGGTATATAAATACTTTTTATATACATAATTCTGTTTAGAAGTATTTGGTTTTATAAATGAATAATTACTGCTCAATAATAAATTAACTGTGATAGCAAAGGTGAATAGACGAGAAACTATATTGCTCTGATCTCAAATGATATGGGATAATGAAAAGCAGTTGATTATGACTGTACTGTACTTAATACTTATTACGTACTTAAATTCTACTATGCCACTACACAATCTTTAATCGTAATAGACAAAACCTGTATAATTTAGAAAGACATTAGAATCTACCTTTAAACTATGATCTATTAGAAAATATATTTCTACCTAGCAAAAAAATATACTTTCAAATGTAAATGCAAAGTTTGGGAAGTTACTAGAGTGATTGGTGACCTATAGTTAAGTAGGTCATACATGTACCCATACAGACGCACATATATTTGAACCAAAATATATTTTTTTACAGTTACCTGATGCGTGAGGACAACCATGACGATCAATTTGAGCTGACATACCGCGGCCACGTGTCCATGAAGGGTAAAGCTGAACCGATGCAGACTTGGTTCCTCACCAGGAAGAAGATGTAAGAGAAATCTGCAAGGTCGAAGAATTCATCAAATTATCTAAGCACATTATATTATAGAAATCTAATAGCATCTATAGCTTTGGCTATTAAAGGGTCTCTTATGATAAGAAGAACGACGGAAGCCGTACATTACATGTTAGAATATCTTGACTTTCACTATTTATATTAGAATTCAAAGTTTCAGTGACAGGTTGATAGAAATCTGATTACGTGATTACTATTTTTTTTAGTACACTACTTAAGACACTTTCAATGATCTTTCGGATATTATATTTAAAACTGTTTGCATTTTAATTTTAGACGTAATGCTGACAATGCTAAGTTTATGGAAAGTGATCTCTTGAATAGTAATGTAGTCCTATATATGGCAGTTTGTATTACTAATAGTTTTTATTATAGATGCACTCTCATTATTAAATAAAATATCATTACCTATATTATTATTAATGTAGAATTTATTAGATATTAAAATTGATGTAGAAAAACTATCTACAATATACTCATCGATCTGTTAGCATATGTAATGAAAGGATTAAGAAATGCTTTTTTGGTGTAATTACCTTTATTTAAGGAGTTTCCTAATAAGATAATGTCTATTTTTTCCACTTAACAACTTTCATTATAAACAATTTAAAAAAAATGTTTTTCATCAAAATATATATTGAAAATTGATTTAGTTAAAATGTATTATCTACAAATAGTAAAAAATATTCTATCAAATAATAACCAAATTCTCTGGCAATTGTTCTTAAAAATCTAATTCGAAAATCAATATAGGTAAAATGTATAATCTACAAATAAGTAAAGTATTAGATTACATAATAACCAAATTCTCTGGTAATTGTTCTCAAAAATCTAATCCGAAAAACAATTTAGTTAAAATGTATAATCTACATGTAGTTAAAGTATTATATCAAAGAATAACCAAATTCTCTTAATGATTTCTCACAATGATTCTTATTATGTACACGCAGTATCAATGATTTACTAATTTATGTCCCCAATTTTTTTGTATGCTTGCGTGTAATACGGTCAGGAAGGTTTAGCATACTAATAATTGGATCCTATATATAGTCATCAACTATATCAGTCATCACATTGTGTTCTATGATGCCAATAGTAGGTTCCTTATCAGGTAGAATAACAATTCTTTTTTTAAACTTTTTGAAGTAATTTGTTTTAAAGTTTGTCCAACTGGACAAACTCGAGGATTTATATCAACCAACAAGCAGCTTGCTTTGCATGTGTTGGTTGAAGGGTTAGATGTAGCAGGGAAATTACTTGGTACCGAGACATGAACTCTAGTCCTTTAGAATGATAGCCCATGATGAGTACCACGCGTTACCCGTCAGCTTGTATGCTTTCTAGCCATTTTAATTACATAAAAATATCTGAATAGATTGACGCCAAGCTTAGCCCGAATTTTGCATAGTGATTTTTTGGTTTTGGGCTAGACTTGATAATTATTAGAATCGTTTGTCCAAGTGTCGGTTCTGGGAGCCTATATCTTCCCGAGATACAGCGTTCCAAAACTTTGGGAGTCATCAGGTGCCGCCCGTGGCGAGTAATAAATAACCAATAGTTTGACTTTAGATCACTATGCAAAATACGGGCTAAATTATATGAGAACTTTCTCATATAAATCCAGAGAAATAGACTTCCGCAAAATAACGCATAATTGGATAAAATATCAGAAAATTGTTGATTTAACATTCTAATGAGTAAAAATCTATACTTATGAATCTTTAGGTATATTGAAGTACTTAATATGTCAATACTTTTAAAGCGGCCTACTGTTGGGTAACTGTTAGAAATTAGAATTAATGCTGTTACTTCATATTTTGTTATTAATTTTCAGATGTCTATGAAAATGTTCTAGTCAATATATTACTATAGTATTAATTTGAAGCTTTAAGTGTTTTCTTCATATATTTTATAATTAGCAAACTATATTTCATTGTTGTCTGTGTATTTATATTATAAATGTATTTAAAATAGATAATTATTTTATTTCTTTAATAAAACATACCTTTCATTAAAAAACCCCCATTATATTAATTATAAATAATGGTAACAAAGGAGGACTTATCTCTAAAAGAGAGCTCTTCAAGTCAACTCAATAGAGCATGGTATCTGGTATCATGGTATAAAAATAACATAAATAATTAAAACTAATCAGAAAATTATAATCTCCAAAACACAAACAGGATAAAATATATGTACCTAAGATACAATATATTAATAATACCTAATATACTTGTATATCTAACCACTAATTGTAGATTGCAATTTCTGCGTAGATGAGGTCTTACCTATTTGAGCCGTTTAACAAGCTGCTTTGGTGGAAAAGTGAAATAAGTCAGTGATACTAAAGGACATAGAGGTTTCTTAGTTCAACACATCATCACGGGCGTCTCATGATAACGTGATGTCTATGGTGTTTATATACCTATATCATTGATGTCTACCACTTCCCATAGGTTGGGCTGACGGCTTGTTTGCTCGTAACTGTGTTTGCGTTTCAATCTTCATAAAAATTGTCATCCCAAATATGACAAATTTTATGGAGATTGGTTTAGCCGTTAAGGCGTGAAAGTGTAATAAACAAACAAACTCACTTTCGTATTTGTAATATTAGTAAGGGTATGCAGTAAGTCTATTATATGCTGTAGAAGGAAAAATATTTTGTGCGTAATAAAGTAGATAAGAAGAGAGCAATATATTTGACGGCTTCGGTGGATTAACCTTTTAGCACACCACCTTACTTCTAATGGTCGCGGGTTCGATTCCTCACATTGTGCAAACATTTGTATTTATGAGTATAATGTTTGTATTGGTCTAAGTGTTTAATACGTATATTATGCATGTATTTACAAAAAAATATTATCTAGTATCCATAACACCTGCTCTGCTTATTTTGGGACTAGATGGCGCTATGTGACAATTAACACAGTTACTTTTCTCAATAATAACATATTACATTCTAACTGTAAAGTTCGACAAATGTCTACTAGCATAAATTAAAATGTTTAGGTACTAACAGACATTATTTTCCGTTTCTTCAACTTCAATTCTGGATTATATATATAATATCATATTATGTTATCTGTGATAATATATAGACAACATAACATTAAAATCATTCTCATATTACACAGAATAATTACTATAAAAGAAGGAAAGCTTTTAGATTTAATTTGTTTTCTTATCATTTCTGAATACTAGTTGTTACCAGCCATTTCTGCTTCTGCTTTTTTGAGAAAAGAGATAGCATATTCCATCCTAGTGGTACATTCTATATTCATACCATATTTCAGAAAGAACCGTTCAGTTAATAATTCAACATACAACAACACAATACAGATTATTTCTTCATTAATTTGCACCCATTCCAAAGACATGGTATAAAATTATCAATAAATATAGTGTAAATATTTCAAAATCTTTGAAGATTCTAGAAATTCTAATACAACAATTGTCATTAAAAGTTTCCTATACAATCTATCCTGGCAGTATAGTAAACACATGAGGTAAGCTTCGACCGTCCGTTAGCACACGATAGCAAATATTACAGTGGAATGTCGTCAGACGACCTCCAATGTGGGCTGGTGATTCAAAACTTTTTACGACCATTATTTATCGGCATCATCTTTTTAATCAACTTTAAAAAACATAAAAGCTTTCGTATTCCGTGATCATGTTTTTGTAATTTTATTATGCGCTAACTCCACAATGCGACAGCGCTTGTAATTTCACTTGATTTTATTATTATCTTTGTATATTTCTGTGATATCCAAATTGGATTTTGGACCCTCAGGGCTGATACTCAAATTAATGGAGTATCATGTCAGCAAAAATAGAAAGTGGACAAGTAAATGGGAGTCCATTTATTCGTAAGTATAGCAAGAGATACGAGTAATCAACATGATTGCAAATATACTAATATTATAAAGAGGATACATTTAATTTTTTTTTATTTGTTTGTATGAATAATCAAATAAATTATCGCTTGATTTGATGACATGATGTCCGTGGTGCTGTTCATGTTTACAGTTACCATTTATCCTCAGATGAACGATCAGATTGTTTTCCATTACACTCACATTGAAAATTATTGTAAATATTCTTTTATATATAGAAAGTTGCATTATTACCAGTAACAAGAGCTGTGCGTTATTTTAAAAAGAAATATTAAGAATTGAACATTTAAACGGTTTCGGTGTTCTAGCATACCGCCTTACTTCCGATGTTCCGGGTTCGATTCCTCGCACGGTACAAATATCTATAAATTATATTCATGAAGACGATTGTTTATATCGGTCTGGATATTTACTATGTATATTAAGTATTTATATACAAAAATCTATGTGCTTATATCAGTTGTCTAGTATCCATAACTCTTCTTAGATTGGGACTAGATGGCGCTGTTAGAATTTTTCAAGGATATTATTATTATATTTATTTATAACTCTTTATTGCACCTTAAAAATAATACAAAAAAAAACAATATTCATAATGTACAGAAAGGTAGGCTAGGTACAAAAGGCGGTCTTATCGCTAAAGCGATTTCTTCCAGACAACCTTTGGGTAGAGGAGAAAAGACAGAAGGTGGTGGATGGCGCAAGATAGAATGAATGGACATGAATAATAATAGTAATATTATAATTTCACTTATAACAAAAAATAGTGTTTCTGCAAAGAGGTAAGGCGAGTAAATTTATGTTAAGAATATGTACATTGTATTTTTACTAGAAACTAAAGCTATCTAAATTTCACAACTGGTACCGGCAGGCTATATAGTCGCTGATGCGACGTCGGGAAATACATAGACGAGATGAAAGCAGACTTTCTTGCAGTAAAAAAGGTAATACCATTATGACTTTCTATAAAAGTGACACATTTATATATTATTTAATATCATTTCTAAAGTTGTTATGTGTATATATTTAATCTAACTAGGAAAATGTAATAACCAGTGAGTAATAGATATACTGCTTTTTTTTTAATTAAATTTATTATTGGAGTAAAGGTAATTTACTAGAATTACAAGTTATTATATTCAAAAGGTTTATACTACATTAGCTGTTAACTTTTGCGAGTTTGTACCTATTTCAACCCCTATTTCTCGACCTCGCAGATGGGTTATAATAAAATAAAGACTGTATTTTTTCTACTTATACAGTCTATTTATAATAGACTGTACTGTACCAATTTTTATTACGATGCGTTCAGCCATTTTATTTTGAAAAATGAACAAACCTACACAATTTTAATATATATATTACTAGCTGTACTAGCGACTTCAACCGCGTGGAATTTAAGTTTAATTTTCTAAAATAAAAGATTTTTTCCAAAATAAAAGTAGCCTAAGTTACTCCTTATTAGACCAGCTACCTGCCAAAAAAGTCCCGTCAAAATCGGTCCAGCCATTTCAGAGATTAGCCGTAACTAACAGACAGACAAAAATTATAAAAAATGTTTGTTTGGTGTATGTACCGTATTTATATTCATATGCATGTAGTAAAAAACGGTTATTTCAATATTACATACTCCAATTTTATTTATATGTATAGATGTACAGATTATCAACCAAAGTGAAGGTATGAAGTCGTTTGATGATAAAGACCGTGTGCTTTGCCGACCCCTAGGAAACCTTATTAAAACATCCTTTATGCAACAAACTAACACGTTCCTAGGCAACATCTCGCCAGGAAACTCAAGCTATAATCTGAATGTACACCGGAAGAAACCCCTTTGCTGCTTCACAATTCGTGACTATACCAGTTCTTGGATGTGAGAATTATTTTCATACACCTGCTACATAGTTATCAGGCTAAAGAATGCCTCAAAATACAATCCATTCATACTGATATTATAAATCTGTGATCGTTTCATACCTTTGTACGACTATGTAAGTAATATTAACTTAACAATGGTACAGCCATAATATAATTGTTAAACGAATCTTAATAAAAGACGTGAACGTAAACTGTACCACGAGACTGAAGATAAACCCTCTTTTATCTTAAAAAATATTCTAGAAATAATCTTTATACAAATAAACTTAATATAAGCACTTTTGAATAGTCTTTTTTATTATGTCACTTGTCCAGAACGCAGACTCATTACAAGAAGAATGAGCAAGAAACTTACATGTTGCTCTTTTAAATAAATGTTGTTGTATATAATTACACATTAACAAGGATTAGGCATGCGACAATCAACATAGAAATTGTCACACACTATATCTTTGTGCAATCAAATAATATTGTATGTTGCTATGAATTTTAAAAGGCATATAGCAGTTAGTGTGCTTTGTATGTATTTAGTAGAGGAATACACTGCTTATTATACTGTCATTCAATTGTGATTTTTTTAAACATATTCAGTTTTTTTAATGTATATAAACTGACACAGAACCCTAATGATAACATCATTCTGTATATTCATATCGGAGTTTAACTTCGAAGAAATGTTTTTTGTAAACTGGTTTTAAACATCGTCTTTTTTCCAAAACATTTAGCAACTTGGGCTCAAAACTTTTAAACCTTTTACATATAAACACACTCGTTATCTAGATACAAAATCATAATAAAATATTGCCGTTACATTGCCGATTTACTGAAGGCAAATTTATTTCAATTGAACTAAAATCGTGAATGGATATTTTGCATGTTTAATTCACATCTATTCTTGCTTATGTGTTTATTTGTTTTTGTGCGCTGTACTTATTTAAAGATCTGACATCACTTCTGAAGTGTATATCTCTCTCAGTTATACTAATATATATGATGGTATATCGATATACTATAATATGCTTACAACTTTAAGTTGATTATTATGTATATTTATGTTCATTTAAAACCTCTATCAAACGGCCTTCAGATGTTTTTAAGTGTTAAATATAATAGTATTTATTCAAAGAACATGAATGTTAGTATGTTTGTTATCTTTTAATGTTTTAAAGGGTCAATTAATTATGATATTTTGCCATGTATTGAAGTCGAGTAAGTTAAATCCGGGTCAAAGTTAATATAAATGAAATATATAATATAAATCGGCTCACAACTATACTCTGAGGTAATATTTCTAAATTATGACATTTTATTATATTGTTTTTTATGATGTATTCAATAAATCATATATAATAATAAAATAATATTACTCAACTGATCAAACAGTATTGTTATAATAATTATTTTTTATATATACTTATGAACTGTAATATAAACAAAAAAAAATTAAAATGAGTAAAATAGTTTTAAAAATTGAGACACAAATAAATACACAATTAAGAGATTAAAAAGTTTATTCAAATCGCTCTACGTTAAATTAAAACATTAAATAAACACATTCCGGGAATACTATGTACTTTACGGCGTAACTAAGAAATGCTTAATTCTTATAATTATTTTTACATTATGTTACATTATTTTTTTATAAAGTTTTTTTAGCAGTTGCAACAGAATTCTCTAAAAAAATCTGTTTAGAAGACTTCTTGTAAATTTCAAGTCGTATTATTGTTTAGACATCAACGAGCACCCGTACTTAACAATCACTGAATAGAAATATTTTTTATAACTACCAGCAGCAGTTTCTTTTATATCTCTATAATTTATTATAATTAACTTATTATCAAAATTATTATAATTAATAAATTAAAATAAAGGAAGAAATTTAAGCAACATATTGCAAAAAGTAGACGCATGCGCATGTTGAAGGCGATCGAGGTGGCAGTGCGTCGTTTTCAATCTAAACACCATGAACAACACTAAAGGATTAAACATCAACCTTATTACCAAGCAATTAAGTTGAGAACGCACAAATAAAATTTACATTCAACTTGTCAGCGTGAATGGAGAAGGCTCCAACTACCAGTCATTTGGGAAACCGCGTCAGTCTGCGAGCAGCAGTTGGTGTTGTTTTACGCGCCTGCGTCGCTCTGTCATTTGCTAATTTGAATTTCGAACGTTCTAAACCGGCCAATCGCGTTCGATTGGACGTTTGATTTCTTTTTTTCGCGTCTACAGTGTGTTCCGTTAGTGCCTGTGCTTGTGACATTGCCAAGACCGTGTGTTGATGACATCAATTTGTGATCTTTTATGCCAGAAGGTCGGATACATTCTCACATGTTCAGGTAAGATTTTATGAATTAACATTATTTCTACGTTTTTGTAACGGATTCGTGTATTTTTCACACGAGCAACACAGTTTAGATGATTGCACTTTTGTATGATTTATGAATTTGTTGCAAAAATATTTTTGTTTCAATGATGTTTTGTGCAATTATATTATGATTGTAATGCAATAAGTGGTATTGTTAACGAGTCCAAACGTTATCTGCATATGTATTAGTTATACATCTACCCTATTATTCATAAATGTCAAATATCAAATAAACCAGTTGTTATATTATACAATAAATTTTTTTGTCCTTTTCTTTTGTAATATTTTTTTAATTTTAAGGAAAGTAACGGATTACCCTAATATTTAAATAAATACTTTTAAACTTTATTCAAATACCTACGAATTTAAATGGTCAGTGGGTTAACCAAATATTCTTGTTTACTATTAAATATAACTCATTCGAAAGTATTCAACACCACTGCAATAAAACCTTGCACTTTTAAAACGAGACACTCAAATTATGTTAATAAATAATTCTGGTCGGTGGGTAGCCTTAAATTATTTCTTTTTTACTAAGAGATAAAGTTATATATACGAGTATACCTACAATCATACAAATTACCTTGTAAAAAGCTAAATACTTTTATAACTAACATAAATAACTCAGGATAGTTAAAGTTTATGAGAATATGGTAATTTTATATCACATAAGAAATATAATATAGAAAACATAAAATTTATTTGATAATTTTGATATAATAAATGGTATTAATAGCGATAGATTCATTATCATAACATGTTTAGCAACGGAAAAATACAGATATACAAGATTTTATTAGCAACGAGACAATTACGATAATTATCATTCGTTTGATGATAAATATATTTTTATCCAATAACAATCTTTACAGATGGTTCGCATGTAGGCTTTATGTCCCACATATGAGTTTCTAAGTCGAACGATTATGTATGTTTTGAGCTTGCTTCACACTTATCCAGTTACTTGGCCATTTGTACTAGAGCACAATGTGTAGTGATTATCGGTTCATTAAAATGCTTTATTCTTTTAGAAAGAAAAAATTTTGTTCTTTTTTAATACAATATAATTTTTAATATCAATTAGTTTGTAACAATATTTTTTTGAGCAAACTAGATTTTTGCTAGAATATTTATAACCTTATGAGTATTGTATATGTTAACGTATATATGTCTATATTAGTCTAGAATAATATATATTACAAACAGTCCAAGAATTTCTGTGGTTCCGGAGTTTCTATTAATCATAACAAAATTCGCTATCTCTCTTTTTAATATTAATATATAGGCAATAGTTCAGTTCTGCTTTTCTTTCCTAGTATTGTAGCAAGAAACGATTAGGGGCTACTATCAACCATAAAGAGATAAGAGTGCGATAGAAGGCAAATTGGAAATAAAATACTATACCAAACCGCCTGAACAGTGTAGAATTAGTAACTAGTGGTAGTTCAGTCTGAAATTTGATATTAGTCAAATATATACTGTTTTAAACTTGACGCAGTCATTATTTATACGTATAATTAATAAAAATCACGGGATCTTACCACGTTTTATATTTATTTGCTGAGTTCCCGATATTTCGGTAGTGTTTCAACCACCATGATCACGGGTAAACTAACCACACTCCACGATAATATTGTCTGAAATTAAAATTAAATAATAAAACAGCGTTCATGGAGATGTACCTACTTTCTTTGACCCCTCAAAGAAAGTACATTTGTTATCTAAATACAATTGCAAACAAACTAACGACCCACCAGACATGAAGTGACAACTGTCGTTTACTTATAAGAAGGACACTATGAACATCACGTTGTTATATGACGCCCATGGTACCGTGGTGGTCTCAGGGGTTGTCGTTTCGGAGGACTAAGGTGCCGTGCCTTCATGACCAGTAAAGAATATATTTATTTATAGCTTTTATACTGATAGTAATAATAATAATCTCAGGACAATTCACACAGTGCCAGCTAGACTCAAGTAAAGCTAGCTAAAGCTTTTATTATGGGTGCTAGATAACTGATACATACATATTACACATAGAAAACTCCTAAATCGGTACGAACAATCATACTCATGAAAATAAATGTTTGTGTCGTGTGAGATATCGAACCCGTGACCATCGGAAGTAAGGCGGTGTGTTAAACTGCTAGACCACCGAGGCCGTCATATATAGTGAAGTTAATTGTGTTTTTGTTTATTGCTATTTCACTGCCTCGATTCGTCAACTTATCCTAAGACATAGGCCTCCGCCAATAGACTCCATGTTTCTCTGTCCAACGCTTTCCTTCTCCATGTTTGGTCCAGCCGTTGCCCTTAAAGAATGGAAAAGTATATATGGAGCATGTTAAATAAGACGAAACGTGTCTTTATATGAAGCAAGGTTATGAGATAACAATGGACGGCCTTGCCGTTAATTAGCGGTCTCTTCCAGGCACTTATAGGATGCTGAGGAGTAATTAGATATTGATGGAAGTATTCAGTGGATAAACATTAGTTGTAAATATAATTTATTATTTCAAATGAAAACGTGTAACTTCGTCTACGTTAGATATTGGTAGTGGCGTGATGTTATAGCCTATAGCTATATATCTATATATAATAGCTTTCCTAAATATGGCCTATGCAACACTAACATAATTATTTTCAATTCGGACCAGTAGTTCTTATAATCAGTGCTTTTAATCTAACAAACAATCTCTTCAAATTTATAATATTATATAGATATGTAATTCTATACGACTACAGTAACTATAGTAATTTCATATGTGGTATCAAAATATTTGTACGTTTGTTAACTTTCTTGAAATTATTTCACACAATAACAAGTGAGACAATGCACATGTTACACTAATGCTATGAGAATTGTATTCGTTGATATCTCCAAGGGACGCTGCAGGTCTTTGTTTGTATAGATAAGATTGCAGGTTTCATTCCCAGTCTAGTTAATTCAGAAAATATTCTCGTTATAATGAGTGACTACCTACTGATCTAATAACTTCGTTAAGATGTCAAGATTTAAGGGGTTAGTAGAATGAGGCTCAGTTTTATGAGAATTTCACCTTTTTTTGGGCTATCATAGTTTGATTACTAGTTTTGACTAATCCAACTTAACACAAGTTACTACAACAATATACTTGGAAATACTAAATAACTACTAATTGTATAAATTAGTATTAGTACTTTTTACCAGTGAAGGATGTCAGAACAATTCCAATTCCTAATGCTACAATGCAAGCGATGAATTGCAGAATTTTCTCTTCATCCCATTATATTCCACTGGTTCCCCTACATTGTATATCTTTGTTAAGTCTAGTTCACTATCCCATAATCATCCATGTACGCCGTGATCTTATGTTATAATATTACTACAACACGCAAGTTTCTTGCTCGTTCTCTTCTTGTGATGAGCCTGCGTTTCAAATGAGTCGTAGATTAAAAAAAATATGACTATTTAAAAGTGCTTATATGAAGTTAATTTGAATAAAGATTATTTCTATTTCTGTAGATGTCTATATATTCTCAGAGTCTATATGTAGGTATATGTAATATCAATGACAGTAAATAACTATATGATCATTCAAGCGTTTAAATACCACAACTAGATATTGTCTACAATTGTGTTATCTCTATCGGATCTAAGATAACGCTAAAGACATGCACAACATCAACTATATTGTGATTTCACCATGCTTTCTGTTTGCTATTGATTGAATATAAAATATATTTTACATATTTTCCAAGAATTCAATTCAAGAGACGACCTCGGTGGTCTAGTTGTTTTAGCACGCCGCCTTTCTTTCGATGGTCGCGGGTTCGATTTCGGCACAAATATTTATATTCAAAAATATGATTGTTTGTATCGGTTTGGGTGTTTTCTATGTATAATATTTATGTATTTACGAATATATATACATATGTGTGTTTTTGTACCAGTTATCTAGTACCCATAACATAAGCTTTAGCTAACTAAGGGTCTAGATGGCGCTGTGTGAATTGTCCGAGATTATTATTATTATATTTCACAATATTGAAAAACAAGTGAGTAAATATAATATTAATATACTTTCACGACTGGTATCTCAGATAGCATAATCAGATAAGTATCAGTCATCTGTCGGTGTTATGGTGAATGCAGCACTTGCACCCAGATTTAGCTCAATATCTCTAAATACAACGCACCGTGAAAATGTCGAAGTAAAGTTTTTATCAATATATTATATGATTATAATTAGTATATATCAAATTTAAACACCAAATAATCTCTAAATTAATTTCTATAACAAACAGACGTACATACACGTAATTTTTGCTAACGGTGTAATTTCTCATAAATATTAATTACTAAGTATATTAGTATAAACGATGAAAAATATATCTATAAGACTCACATTTGCTATTTTAAACTGGCTATATCGCGCAACCCGCGTATTACATTACTTTTTGTGTTTATCAATTACATACAAACAAATATTTGCTCTTCATGGTATAGTTTCTCAAATAAATTCAAAATTAACATAAAATTAGAACGTTCTTATTTTCAAGGTTTGTATAAATAAATAATACACATTCAAAATAATGTGTATTTAGTTACAAAACTCATACAAATGGTTATTATAAAAACACTAGTTGCGTGTTACCAATTGTATGAGTACCATGCAATTATCAGTATAAGCAGTGACAACTTGAAAGGTACGAGTAATATTGCATTAAAGATCATTATCGAATGCTGGAAAGAAATCTAAATCATTCGAAAGTGTATTTAATAGATTTTAATGCATAACTTACGCAATCCGAGTTAGTTTGTATCTACTTGACCGATCGATTTTAATGTAAACGAGGCTTGAATTGATTTATCTATAAATTTCACTCACAGACTTGGACGAGAATATTTGCATTTTGCCGCAATGGATTATAATACTTAATCAAATTAATTAACAGTGTACTATTGAAATAGAAATAGAAATATATTTA